AGCTGACCTCAATTGACCAAAGGGATATTCTGTACCACAGAATGTCATGCTCAGCAATAAAACTGAGGGGAGTTGCGGCATTTGTCTCCCCAAGTAACTGCTATGCATGATGAAGCCCTGCTTTCCTGGAAATAGCTAAGCATCTGCCTGCCAATGGGAAGTAGTGAATGAATTCTGTAATTTGCTTTGATTGTGTGTGCAGCTTTGCTTTACCTATTAAGCTGGCTTTATCTTGGTCCATGAGTTTTCTCACTTTTGCTCTTCCAGTTCTCTCCCCTGTCCCACTGAGGGGGAGTGAATGAGCAGCTGTGTGATGCTTTGCTGCCTACCAGGGTTAACCCGCAACACCTCAATTTGTAACTTTTACTATTAAATCATTAAATATTTCCTTTTACTTCTCAATTTATTTTGCTGTAAAGCTAGGAATAATTAGTATTTCTTTCTGCTAGTCTGTTTTCTTAATAAGCCTTGATTAAAAAAAAAATCAAGTGTAGTATTACTGAATAATGAGAACCAAATATTGCTTTTTAAACAGACTTGCTGGGGGCGGGGGGTTTCAGGTGAGCCAAAGTAGGTGGAATAAACTGACAAACAGAAGCAAACACAAACTGTCCAAGGCTGATGTAAAATGTTTTCCTTCTTGATCTTTAAAAACAATACTTCTGCTTGTGGTTATTTGGCCATCATTTTATGTCTAACCTAAGGAAAATATTCATTGCATTAGCAGATATGACAAAATGTGATGAAACTCCTGTCTTAGTCCTGAATATAGTTTCCTCTTTTTGATATATAATATTACTAAAGTTTGTGGCTTCCCCCCCCCCATAAGCAAAGATAATAATAATAATAATTTAAAAAGTGAAACCTGATATTTTCACATAATTCTATAAGTCTGGAATGTACGTCTTTAAGAAAAATACCATGAGACTTGAGATAATTTGTGAGTTGGCAGTGCTGCCTGAAATACATTAATGGTGGTCTTTCATTTCAGTCTTAAAAGGAAGTGCAAATTAAAGGCCTCATTTTGCCAGTGACTTCTGTTATGAGCAAATGAGTTCAGCATGTCTGAACATTGTGGTAAATACACAGTTACAACAACAGCAGGACTTCATAAATACAGTATCTGCCTTTTAACAGATAATAATTAGTTTGGATTATGTGAGTAACAAAGAAGGTACATTGATTTCAGTATTCCAAGGCAAATACACATCAGAAGATGGACCTTCCCTGTTTATTCTAATTCAGAAGTCTATGTATGAAAACTAAAACGTGTGTTTACCCTAAGTATATGGGAAAGCAGGATGGTGGCTGAGAAACTTTTTTCTTTCTATTAGGAATTATAAATGTAAAAGTTGTGGGATACCGAGATAGTGTGTTAGAATAATTTATGGTCCTTCCTATGGGTTATTAACAATGTGAAGGTTATGTTGCAAAAGAATTTGCAATTCCTCTTCCTGTACCAAAGCTCTTTGAGAAGAAGAGGGGCGGGGGGGGGGGGGGACATGACACAGAAGTGGCACACATGATGCCTGTACTTGCAGCGACTCTGACGGTGTCTGTCCCTGCAGACAGTAAAGTCTTTTCTGTTTTGTTTCCTGGGAGAGTTGGGAGTGGTGTGATCTTCCACTTTTTAAAAATCTGATCTTTGTAATGAGGGCTTTAATTTGTCACAGGTGAGGCTGTAATGTTGCTGGAGCCTTCTGATGCGAAGCTGCCTTTTGGCTCTGAGGCACGCAGTTCTTTCTTTTCCTATGAACACATGCTCCTTTGGGGTTGCTGTCTAAAATAGGCCTAATATTGAAAAGAAAAAGGGACAAATGTAAGATGCTGAAATCCACATGATTAAACAGCAGTTTTCATTACAAGTTCCAGCTCTGGAATGTTTTCAAGTAAATTTAAGTTGTCTTAATCCAGACAGCATTTGTTTTGAAAAAAATGTGGAACATTTGTTTTGAATGATCAAGCACTGAAGCAATAATTTCCCTGCAGTGTTGAGGGCAGAAGGAGGGAGAAGATTACCCTCTAATACGGCAATCCGAGGCCATACACTCCCCCATGCAGAGGCTCCAAGCAGTATACATTTCTCTTTACCACACCCAACCCCTTCCACCCCCTCTCCACAATAGCTTTTCTTTGAGTCCCCTCCCCAGGCTCCCCCAGGCTCTGCCAGGAGGCAGCTTTCCCTCCTTCATAGATCCCTCTATTCTTTCTAGTGGTTTTCTTTTGTCCCTTGCCACTGCTGAATGCCTTCTATCCCTTTTCCCAGTCAGCCCTCCCTTTCATCCAATGAAGTATACCCATTTCTCCTACCTATCATCTCATATGTGATTATTTTTTGTCCTAAACAGCTTTTCTTCTGCCTGTCTTTCCTGTCCTGTCATGGTCTTCATTTCTCTTTGAAAACTTTGCAAGTAGTTGCCTTTTCTTATAGCAATTGTAGTTTCTACATAACTGTTGTCTCCTTGACAAGTCTCTATCTTCTGTATGCTTATTAAAAAAAAAAAAAGGCAAAAATTTTGAAGTGCATATCTGCCCAAAACAGCGAGTTACATCATGGAACTCAGTGCTCATAGAAGAGCCACCAGAACGTTTGAAAATATTACCAAACAGTGAAAAACTTTAAGAACTTAATTTTGTGTAGTTTAACAAATAGGAAAGAAGAGAGCAAAGAGATTACAGTCTGTAGATACCTACCTGAGATATCTTCATTTAAAACAAAAAAAATTCTCTCCAGTAGTGAAAAAAAATATATTGCAAAATACAGTGTGTGGAAGCGAGCTGTAGCAAATGCACACTAAAATATGGTCGGTATATGTAACAGCATCATTCATGTAATTGTATGACTTATAAAGGGAGGTAGCCTAGTTTTGTTGCAGTGGTTGCTACTTGCTTTGTGACTACGGATATACGTAATCAAACAGCATTTTTTTTTTCTCATGCCTAAAACTTTGTCTGTTTAAGCATAAAATAAAGCCGGCACATTGAAATTCTTTCCTTTAATTGCCATTGCACCCATGCATACTTCTTTGTGTATTGTGTGCTGACACATGCCATATCACTGATGTCTTTGAATATCAGTGATACCCAAAGTTAACACTGATTAATATAATAAAAAAAAAAAAGAGTAAAAGGAAACACACTTTTCATTGTTTCATTCTTTCAATAAGAAGTACTCATGAGCACATGAATCAGATCAAAACTTGCTTGTCTCTTATGAGGTGCTACCTGGAGTAGCATTGTATTCTGAGGTCCCCAGTACCTCTATTCTGAGGTCCCTGTTGGAGCAGGTCCAGAGGAGGCCGTGAAGATGCTCAGAGGGCTGGAGCACCTCTCCTATGAGGACAGGCTGAGAGAGTTGGGGTTATTCAGCCTGGAGAAGAGAAGGCTCTGGAGAAACCTTATTGTGACCTTTCTATATATAAAGGGGAAAGATGGAGAAAGACTTCTTACCAGGACCTGTAGTGACAGGACAAGGGGCAACAGTTTTAAACTGAAAAGAGTAGATTTAGATTAGACACAAGGAAGTTGTTGTGTTTGTTTTTTTTTTTTTTTTTTTTTTTTTTTTTTTTTTTTTATGATGAAAGTGGTAAGGCACTGGAACTGGTTGCCCAGAGAAGTTGTGGGTGCCCCATCCCTGGAAGTGTTTAAGGCCAGATTGATTGGGGCTTTGGGCAACCTGGTCTAGTGAAAGATGTCCCTGCCTATGGCAGACAGGTTGGACTAGATGATCTTTAAGGTCTCTTTGGACCCAAACCATTCGATGAGTCTTCCATGATCTTGTTCAGACAGTTCTGGGCTTAATCCAGTGATATTACTTGAGAGAGAAAATCAGAAACGCGTTGCCTACAGATCGGGAATAAAGCTCATCCTAAGTATAGGGTATTGACTATCCTGAAATTATATATAGTCTAGCAAAAAGAATTAAAAAGTCTTTAAAAATGCTAAGCTGTAAAGTAAATGAAAATATTTGTGGTTTACCTTACTTACAGAAAGAACCATCTTTATGTATTGATCCAGCTTTGATATTTCAGGTATGGGTTTGGTTCTAAAAAAGCGTGTATGTGTGTTTTGCAGTGCAACGTACTCTGATTAAGATTGCATGAACTTTCACTTTCCCTTGTCTTCAAAAATAAACCTGAATATTCTCTGTATTAAATTGACAAAGTTAAAAAAAGTGTATAGTAAGAGTAGTCATGTGTGGTCTGTTGATACCATGTGTGCATAGGTGCATTTAAATACAAGTTTTATTAAATGTGAAATTGCAAATAATTGCTTCTGATTGCTTGTTGAATGCCCTACAAGCAAGATTTTTCACAGTCATAGTTTAAATTTATCAGGTGTTTGAAATGAAGAGTAGCATTCCATTACTTCTTGTTTCAGAGTAAGACAGACTGGAATGCTCTATTATTTACAAATGTTTTGTCATTTTATTCCCCCTCGTGTTCAGGAAATGTACTATAGCACTTTTGTTGTAAGGACTGGATATGTAAGATTCATGAAACATTATTGTGGAAACTCATTTGTAGAGTTTTATTTTATTCAGCATCAGAACACATACTAATTGTTTCATGTTCCAAAAGAGAGAGATTTCTGCTAGGTCCAACATAGAACTAGCCTTAACCTCTCTCTCTCAATATCTGCAACACTATTCTAATAAAGGAGATGAGGAAGAAGCATTGGTTACTGCTGGAAGGAGGGGATAGATTAGGGACAGTACCCTGATCTATATCACAAATCC